TATATATATAACTAGGGGATGTCACAGATCCTGAGGAGAACCTCGGTGACTTCCCAATCTACCCTATGGTTTGGTTTCAATTTAGAGGATAAATATTTAAGTATTTTATCTTGCTAATTTTATTAATTAAGGCTTACATCCATGTGAAACGATCACACAAATAAACTGAAAGAGGTGAGGATTTAGGTTGTGACAAACAATAACCTTGGAATCCTAAAACAAGTTAGGGCTTATATTGTATAATAGAGCCATACAAAGGCCTAAAGAAAAGGTTAAGGATTTATGTCATGCTAGGCGGACAAACTCTAAATCCTATGGCTTGTTATTTAATTCTAAGGAATAGTTTATCTGGTGTAGATATGTTTTGCTGTTAAAGATGGTCGTGTTGGACACAATGCTAGCTCCAAGCTCCACGTCGTGGCTAGTATAAGTTTAGAAGTGTCAAATTGTAAAGATTGAGAGAAGTATCAGATTCAGAGGTCAAGTTTTCTAATGTGTCAGGCCATGATGTCAAATTAAATGTTTCTTAAGGTTATTTAAATATTATGGGGGGGTTAAAGTTGATTAGAGTCACACCAGTTAGGATCCCACGGTTCCCTCGTTTCGGTATCACTATTTTTTTTAATTTACTTAGCTTAAATGAGTTGTGAACCCTATTTAAACTGGGGAGATCTCCTTAGCAACCGTGGTTTACCTCCTCCAAGGGACTCCCGTATATTCAAAAGGATGTTTTAAGTTTAGTGAAATTTTAAAAAATTTATGGTTACCTTTAAAACTGTTTGTTTTAGATTTTGAAAATGTTGATTAATTTTTTTGAAAAGTTGTTTTGATTTTTCAGGTGAAGTAAGGTACTCACCCAAGCAGTTTATAATATTTGCAGGAAATAAAATGACAGAAATTAAATAACACTATAAAAGCGTACCTGTTATCTTGTCGACATTCCCACTGAAAGATTAGCTTTTGCAACATGTATATAATTTTGTAAAAACTTAAATAAATTGCAAGAGTAGATGAAGGTGCAGTTTATGAACCCTCAAACCATGACTCAGTGAGTCCCAAAAGGTCTTAATAGATGATTTTAAAACAAAATTTAGCAAGTCCAATTTGTTCTTCAGAATATAGAAGAGATTTCAAAGTATTAATGGGATGATCCCAAATTTCCTTGAAAATCTCTTGAAATATCTGAGTTCATTATAAACTTATCATATTATTCCACTAATTATCCCGTTCAAATTAAAGTTACTGCATTGCTGGATAAACTTTAACATTTTAATCATCCCAAGGACAGGGTACACAATTGGTCAGTTGACATTTCACTTAAAAGTTATGCAGGTGAATGTCCCTAAGGCATGTTTCAGTCATTAAAGATTTGACACCCACCACTAAGGTTGGGCTTGATTGTGTTAATCATCAACAACATTATCTTCTAATTCCCATCAAATAAGTTTTAAAATCAAGCCTAGATCACTACCAAGCCCCTTAATG